GAAATTTGATTCTGGACCTGCTTCGTTCACTTCGCGATGCGAGGCAGGGTCAGCTTGTTTGAAGGGGCGCCGAGCCCTTGAGTGCTTTGGGATACATCTTGGCTCCTTCTAGCCAAGATTTCTCATCGAGCCCTGTGGTTGCACAGCTTTTCATCCCGGGGTTACGCTTCAAGGTGTCATGTTGGGCTGTGGCTAAGTCGAGCTAACTCCAGTCATCTGAACTGTGTTGTTTGCGTGGTCCACACTTGATGCAGAATTTGCTGCTTGTCCCAACATGGCTCGCGGCACGAAGCGTCTGCGAATGATGTTAATATTTTATAGAAAAATGGTTTTAACCTCCTGCCCGCTGGTTTCAGTCCCGCGGGCGGGCTGCATTGCGGCATGTCAGAGCAGTCGGTGGCTGCATGAAGAGGACCGCATTGCAAACTGGCTCTGACTTGGCACCCTTTGCTGGTGCAGAGGGAGGCCGTCCAATGACGATGAGCCGGGATGCATCGCTGAGTTGCTGACAGCACTCTTCACACTCCAGACATAAAGCCTTGCAGCCTGCCAGGGCAGAAGTTGCAACTTTGAATAACTTGGCAACCCCGAGGTGTTGCCGCAGCATGAGAAAATGCAGTGTCGTGCTTGCTGTTTTCATGACTGCGGTATTTACGACTGTGAGGTCAGGAGCCGGTCTTCTGAATGTCCCAGCCCTGCAAAGCCTCGCTTTGGAGGGCCCTCAGTAGCTTGAGACCGGGCTCTGCAGGCAGTGGGGCTTCGGCTTTCAGTTCTGCTACAGCTAGCAACAGCTAGCAGCAGCAGCAGCAGCGGCGGCAGCAGCAGCAGCAATTAATTGCAGAGGCAGTAGCCGTAGCAGCAGGAGGAGAAGGACGAGGAGGGGGAGCAGCAGGAGCAGTTGCAGGAGGATGAGCAGAAGCGGTATGAGGGCGTACCCGGAAGCGTTCCCAAGCCGTACGTTACCCGAGATGCTTGAACTTGAGCATACACAAAGCCAAATGCAACGGCAGGTGGTAACGAGGTGCATTAATGTGCTGATCTGGCTCAGCCCCCTTGGCGCCCGGAACCAAGTGTAGGAGACGCTGAGAATGAGCGCAGTATTCGTATTCTCTCCATTCTTTTTGGAAACATAGCCATTTGAGTTACAAATACCTGTCCCAAATCTCTTGCATCTTTAATGAGCGTGCAAATGGTCCGCCTGTGCCAGTTTGAGTCGTGTCACTGTTCAGTATTGTCGATGTTGTCACCGTGGATGTCTCGCCTGTTTTGACAGCAAGGTCGTGTTTCCTGTCTGGCGAACTTACGCATTCCTCGTGTGGGATGTATGTATAAATACAGTCGGGTACTTTGCATTGTGAAGCCTAGACAGCGGATTTTAGGACTGAAGCCTTGAAGTCGGATCCGAGGTAGGGAGTCTCGTCTGCAGCAGCGCCGCGCGCTTCGACCTGGCCCATCTTGGAACTGCAGTGGCCCTGCCGCCTGGTGCCAACAGTTGGCCAGGCTCTTTAGGTATGAACAAGCAAGAGCATAAGTTGCTTGATGCAATCAGTTTCCAGTCAATTGTGGTCTAATTGTGTGAAAGTGGAAGTCATGTACCATATTGTACCATGCATGTATGTATGCATGTACGGATGTATGTCAGTCAGTCAATATGTATGTATCCATTTATGTATGGATGGATGCATGTATGTGTATGTCTATACATATGCCTGCGCCCGCAAGGGACCATGATTTGGATAGTTACTCTCATATGTATGAATGTATGTATGTATGTACGTATGTATTTGT